TGTGCGATGTGTTCCGCAGGTTCTGATCTTTCGGTATCCAATTTCTAGCAAAGCCTATGATGTTCCTTGATTCGTGTGCTAATTTTTCTCCCTGTTTCGCAAATATATTTATGTTCGCAAGCGCCGCATGATATACAGTAAACACCTGAACAAGCAAATTCATCTACCCTTTCCTGTTGCGTTGGTAGACTCGTGAAAAGTGTTGATTTCTCTTTCATGGCCACCTGAATATTCCATTTAGTCAATATTGTCCGTAGTTTTTGAGTTATTTCGCAGGAAGGTAAGCATATCCACTTTTGTGAATCCTTCGTCGTCCTTACTGTTCTTTCATAGTCCCAGTTCTGCCATCAACTTTTCACGGTCCGTATTTTTCTTTGTATCATTCCGTTTGGGTAGCCATTGCCAAGGAAGATACTAGTCAATTTGTCCAGCTCCTCGCCCCAGAAATCTGTATCCATTAGAAGTAGGCTTCGGATGATAATGCTAAAAATTATTCCAATCTTTAGCCTGTAATTGTGATGGGACCAGAAATCGAGTATTATCCCAGCACAGGACTTCTTAATGAACAATTTCTGTTTGAGCGTCCCATTAGAGCGAATCACTTCAAAGTCGAGGAACGGTAACCGCCCACCTTCCTCTACTTCCATCGTGAATTGAATTTTGCCATCAATCTTGTTTAAAAACTTCAGAAACTCTTCAAGTTGTTCTCTTCCATGTGACCAAAGTGCGAAATAATCATCCAGGTAGCGCATGAGCACTGCCGGTTGTAGCGATGGCATCTTGAGTTTCTCTTCTATTTTGTTCATGCATACTCACTGATGATGCCGACTACAATGCCAGCGAAACGTTTGATAATGTACCAAGTCGACTATCTGATGCTGGAAATCATGACAACTACTATGTCAGACGATTTCCGACTAGGTGCGTTATACTAAGTCACCCTGACAACAAGACCAAGTTGCGACTTCGAGGTAAACCCACTTCTATAAATCGTACGGCGACTGCAACCATATCTTCAAACCATTTTTAGTTTCATAGGTAGGTTTTTCGAGACTTATATTAGATCTGATGTAAGGACTGTTATCATTATATTTCGTTTAAAGTAATGAATGAGTGGTAGTCGAATTTTCCCGCAATTATATAAATACACCTTACGCTTTCATTGAATTTCACATATATTTGCTTCCCCAAAGGCATTTTCATCCAGGGTGGTAATAAGACATAGGAGAGTTTTAAACTGTAGTTCAGTTTGGATAAGGCTACAGTCTAAGAAACAAGGCTGTGAAGTTCAATACACAAGTAAGGTCTACTTATAGCATTGTGGGAACATTCGACTAACAGTCATTCATCAACTTAAACGGAACAATGTGAATATAGCTCATATGTATTCAGACGAATAATTATTTTTGACGCGAGTAGTTTTCGAGACTCTCACTACTTATTGAATAAAAACGTAGACACCTTAGGTGACTTTATCTGAGTTAAGTTCTTCCTCAATCAAAACAGCAGAATTCCCAATGTCAATGAATTTAATTTAATCTTACCTTTTAAAAAGTAATCTCTTCCTACCTGGATTACAATTACGATCCTGTAGCTCGCACAGTGATATTTAGTAACGAGTTTTGAGTATCCTGGCGACGTTACGACTATATCGTACAGCCACGAATGTTAGTGGGTCACGGCAAGCAAGACCTTGTCCAAATTACATTTTTAGTTGCTAACCCTGCATTTGAGATTGCATTTGGGACGATACTTAATTGCTGTATAAATAGTTTTCAAAACTAAGTATATATTTAAGAATTACTGATAGTGTTGAGGCCTACTTATATTAAAATATAATGAAATTGTAAAGCTTACTATGTTGATTTTAATAAATTAAACTATCCGTCCTTAATTTATTTAAAATAAACATTTTTTAGACTAACTAACTAATTAACGAACCAGTTTTTAAACTAGTTAGTTTTTAGACTAACTAATGCTCTTATTGGAATTGATTTAACCTTGTATTCACAACTTAGTCATGTTGTCAGGGTGGCATTTGAAGAACGTACTTCGGGCTGTTTTTTTTGCCTCTCAGTCTAATTATACAAATCGAACCAAATAAAGTCAAACCAGATAGTTAGGGCAGACTGAAATGTTTGATAAAAATCATAGCAAAAGGAAGGAAGAGAAGCATACTTTATAATTAAATCTGACTTAACTTTAAGTTAAATAAAAATGTAGGCCAAAGAGGGTTCAAGTTCGGTCCAACTACAAAATTATAGCAGATTCTGTTGCTAAGACCTATGTTCACCATATTTCGTTCAAGGTGATGAAAAACTGACAGTTAAATTTTCCCACTAGCATATGAATAGGCTTTACATTTTCAGTCCTTCATTTGCTTAAACAAAATATGATGAACACCATTCCTATTTAAGATAATCTGATAGATTAAAAATACTACTTTAAAAACTAAACTGGGTCCTGCTGCCGTCTGATTTCATTGAGATCTTCAGATTCACACCGTTCTCGTGATACTTGTCTTTGTTTCCAGTACAATATTTCTCAGCTATTACTTGTCACATTCAGTTAATAGATGGCGTCATGGATGGTACAGATCTCCATAACAACCCCAACTATCCAACGAATCAACTAAGATTTAACCCATTACTTATTATTCTATTCTAACTCGAATATAGGCAGGTATTCCCCCCCGACATCTACCATAAATTATATAAATCTGTGAGAGCGTATGCCTGTCTTTGTATACGTCGGGATATTTCATAGCAATCATAACAGAACAAAACTGTTTGTTATTGGGTTAAAAAGGCGTGATAGCCTATTGTTTTCGACCTACAAAGCCACCACTTCTCAAAGATTACACAATGCAGGTTAGACTTCTGAGCTAAAAAATAAGGCGCTATATCAAGTTGAACAAAAGTCATCGAGAGTTGTTAGGTTAATTTTTTTTCAAGGTGGCTCAAGTTACTTTTCTACTGAATTCCTTCAAATTGCTATGCTCTAATCCGTCGATTATATTACCTTTTATAGCTTTGCCTTTTCTTTTTGTCTCTCTGAGACTTTTATCTAGAATATCTCGATAAAACAAAACATTAACCTCTAAAACCAATAGAATAATCGAATTACAACCACACCTTAGCAGTTCCATAAGAAGTCAAACCTTTGGCCCCCAGAAATTGTGATCTAATGGAGTAGAATAAATAAGATATATATATATATACATAGTGCGTTTGTAGATGATGCAAACTGGAATTTTGCCCTCTCAATCGACCACACTACATTTATCTATAGATAGTAGGTTTCGAGACTATCATAGTAAGGTATACGTGTCATTTGGATCCAAGGTCAGATGTGAAGTTTGTAGGCAAACCAGGCTTCTCCCGACTTTAAGTTGTAGTGGGGCTGTTGAGAAGGCAAACTTATATTTTGCTGTTTCAATCGACTAAATTGCTAATATGCTGAGCTATTATGCGTATGGCCTATTACGAAAACTTAAATAAAAGCGTAGTAGAGCGATGTAATAGTAACATGTTGAAAGTTTTTGTGGCAATTCTCGGTTTCGATTCTTAATTTTGAGTAATGATGCGACCAAGGTGGGGTTAATACTGTGGTATAAGTGAAATTCTATGACAATGTAAACCCTAATAATATTAATATAGTAAAATACAAATATGAATCCTTCACCCTAACCAACATAGAATGACTAGAGCTCTTATTAGTAGATCATTAAGATGTGATGACGGAAAACAGAGGTTATGTTCTAGTCGAATCACTTCGATCCATTACTGCTGTCTTTGCACCTATTTCTACGTATTAATGCTTGGAAATGCATATTATCATTAATATGCACACTCTACTGGAGTTAATTATGAAATGAAGAAACCCAATTACTTGCCTCCACAAAATTCGAATGACTATATTACACATACAGAATGTAGAGACAAGCTAGCAAGTTTTATTTATTCGTTAGCTTGAATTACTTGATAAACAACTAGGATAATATCCTAAACACATTTGCATCGGAACTGGAGGAGATAACTCCAAGTGAATCAGCCGTCTTTATGTGGGATTCACCCTCAAATTGCTTAATCACACGCTTTCACTCAAAATAAAAGTGAGGCTAAAACCAGTACGTCAAGTAACTAATAGAAAAATCAATTTTTTTCGTATGATCTCACTTTTCCATGATTTAGTATCGACTGACTTTCGCCTCTGCTTAGACTTCTGGCCCGGCCTCGAGACCAGTCATTCACTTCCTTTCGGAGACCCCTTCCCCTACGTTCCTCTGGCATGTCGTCCAGCTCTAGACCACCCCAAGGATGCTTCCACGAATCATCTAAATGGCGATCTTGGAAGGTCTGTGAAGAAGTAGTCAGGGGGCCCGACGTCAGGTTGCTCAAGCCAGAGGCCGCCGTGTTGGCACGACATGAAGGTCTTGTGGTGGTCAAGCTGGGGAGTTGTCGCAGTGCCGAAAGGTTGTCAACGACGCGCGTTGTCAAGACGGCTGTTGCCGAATTTTTGCTGATCTGTGAGGCGAGGGAGGAGGAGTCGACGGCTGAGGAGCCGACTGAACATGTTGAGGAGGAAGGTGGCGAAGAGGCCGATGAAGACGTGGATGAAGATGAAGGAGATGAGGAGGTGGTGGAGAAGAATGGACCAGAAGGGGAAAGTTTGGCCGATGATGGCGCCTCCAGGGTCGTTTTGCCTGGTCCAGTTGAAAATATTTCAGACTGAAATTCGTCTGCAAGTCGCCAGACATCACCCAGTCCTCCCGGCTCTTCTTTTCGCCGAGGTACACGCTGAAAGTAATGGCTCAGCGCAAGGTTTTGACGAAAGGAAGCCTGTTTCAGAAATAAAATGATTCAAATTATCAATAAGCTATATATATATATATATATATATATATAATTGATGAGGAATGATAATTGCATTTCCCTAAAATTTCACTTGTAGGCCTCTCCAAAATCCAGTTTTCATACTGGGATTGTGGATTAAGCAAACTTGTGTTTTACCATCGCCATGACTGCATTACTTATAATAACAAAAAGTATGATGGAAGTTGTTTGACCTTGTTTTCGCAATTTGGTCATATTGGTAGGAAGACTTATAGGAACGTACTTTGTCCTCAGTCCATTTTATGCATAATTATTTCCAAATTCGGACCGTGGACGCGGTACATTCCCAAACGTTTCGCCGGCATCGTCAGTGAGTCTCGCCATTCT